TAGCTTGCCCAAGCAGGAGGTTAGTGAGATGGGCCGGTAGGAGCTCAAATCATCGGCCGGCCTTCCAGACTTGAGCAGGGGCACGGTAGTGGCCTCTCTCCAGGCCCTTGGGATCTCAGCACTGCTCCAAACCTTGTTCATGTAGTCGAGGAGGCTGTCGTGGCACGACTCGTCCAGGTTCCTGATGGCCTGGTTCGTCACTCCGTCGGGGCCTGGGGACGAGCGCTTGCGCGGGCATGCGTCGATGGCGTGTCTTAGTTCGTGTAGCGTGAAGGGGGCATCCATAGCCTTCATGCTGGGTGCCGAAGGGTCTCTGCGGATTGACCAGTCTGGGGGGCTGGACCCACCAGTGGGCACCTCCGATTCCTATCGGTGGTGCTTTCAGTGCAGCTTTTATCGGCGTCGCCACACTGGCGGATGCCATAATGCGGGGCAAGAAACTTTCCCAGTAAGATTAAAAAAGTGAAAGCCGTTTACAACTCCCTGTAACGTCAAATTAGAGCGCAGCTCTTGAGGGGGAGCAGTAAAGGGTACTGAGGGGGGGTCACGTGACCTCGGGGAGGGAGGGTCACGTGACCTCAGAGAGGGGGTAGTCACGTGACCTCAGGAAGGGGGTGGTCACGTGACCTCCGGGGGGGGGGGGGTCACGTGACCCCCCTCCCCGAAGTCCTTTCGAAGGAACCCGAGGTTCTCCCGAGGTCCCGACGACGCTCAAGCCGGAAACGGGCGCCTAAGAGCTGCGCTCTAAAACCATCATCCGCGGCACACAAGAACACGAGACGCGCCCTCAGTCGGATTCCCCGCACTCAAAAGCGCCCAACCAGCAGACCCAAAGCGGGAGCGGCACCCCGAAGAGCACTTTCACCAACGTTTCTAGCCACTCAGCATTTATGGCCGTGGAACCTGACGCTCGCTAGATGGCGCTCCGGTATTCAAAATTGCGCTACTTACGATAGAACGGTCAATCGCGACGAAACGGTGCTGATGGTTCTTCCAGCACCCAGTGAGAACTTTCTAACGGTTGTTTAGAAACGCTGCCGAACAACATAGTAGCTATGTTTTGTTTTGTTTTTTCATATAGAATGCGATGATCCCTGAGTAGCAGGAATCGCACGTGTGCTTGGGTATCAAACTATATAAGGCAAATAGATGTAGTGACCGACAGCAGTGCTGGCACAGCGTGACGCGGGCGAAATCACGCGGTGAACGTGTAACGTGCACAGGGAACTTGCCAGAACATCGGTGCCCTGAGCGTTGCCAGTTTCTCGGCCACACGGATCGGTGTCGCCATCTAGGGGCCAAATTTTAATCTTCTTCAAGATGGCCGCCGTGCGGCCCTAACCTTAAAGGGATGCTGAACCGAAAATCGAATTTCAGAAAAGAACGCCGAATCGATAGGCAGGACGCTACAAATCCCAAGACGTCACTCATAAAGCGGTATCTCCAACGTATCGTCGTATTTTTTCAGAAGAACAGCGCGCTCGCACAAGGCCGAAAAGACGCATGACCTCGCGAGTCTCATTTCCTCCTCTTTTCGCTTTGACTGCGTGAGGGCGCGGAGGGGAAAGGGGAACCGACACCATTTCTCCTCCTTCTCAACTCTCGTGCGATAAGATGACGTCAACATTCCTTCTCATTCGCTTCTTTATTTTCCAGAAATACGGCCATCCGCTGGAGATACGGCTATATGAGTAATGTTTCGTGGTTTATGGTGCCCTGTTGAACATTTCTGCAAGCTTATTTTGGGAAATCCGAATTTCGGCTCAGCATCCCTTTAAAGCCTCTAAGCAATTCTTTTTTTGTTTTGTTTTTAATTTTAGGTGGAGAATATTTACCGCATATTTACCTCTACTTGTCAAAATTGTATTTTTCACCTTTCTTTTTCTTTCTACAACATAACAATAAAGATGTGACTCGATTCATTTAAATCAGGGGTCTCAAACACGCGGCCCGCGACGCTCTGGGAAGCGGCCCGCAAGCCTTCCGCGGCAGCGAGTCCCCATTCCATGCCTCGAGCGCCACAGGCGCCGTATAGTTTTATATCGTCAATTATTTCCGCTTAAACGGGAACTCTGCTCATATAACGTGTTCACGCATTTTGCACTAGTCCGCTTATCGCTTGGACGAAGAATTGCTTTGTCTAAATATTGCCTTCTCATAATTTTCCCATGTAAATCAACCGGAATGGCAGTACCACTACCACTAGGCTACAAGCGCGAGTTCTTTGCGCAAAGAGACACCTCGGCTGCACACTCTAGCCCTGCAGGAGCAACTACCAAAAATAAAGCTACGAGCTCGGGCTTCTAGCTGTCAACAATACCTTTAAAATGAAAAAAAAAAAAAGTTCTTATAACGCTACTATAAAAAGCGCCAGGAAAGAAGGAACTGCCGTTTAAGGAGAAAGTTTTATATATGCCTGGTTGAGCCTCGGGAATTGTTTGACGGGGGAAGGATGGTTTGCCTGCTCTTGTTCTGTTGTAAACTGCCAGTACTGTGGTGTGTAGATGTTTTTAATTTTTCTGTAACAGCAGTTGTGGGCCCAAAGTAGTTTTATATGCAAATTAAAGCTTAAGATGGCAAACGCGGAGCTTGCAAAAAGCAGACAGCACAATAATCCATGCCTAGAAAATCTCTGGGGTGTCGCTGGGACAGTGGGCTCCTTTGCAACGTGAAACACCACTGCCGTGTATGTTTTGTATTTTTTGCTTCAAAATCGCAACATATTGTCCCACCCCCCTCCCTCCGTTGGCCCTCGTCCATTCGCCCCCCCCCCCCCCCCCCCTCGAGTGGTTTTGAGACCCCTGATTTAAATGCTTTAATCATTGGCCGATCAAACGCATATATGTGAACCAGCCTCAAAAAAAAAAAAAAAAAAAAAAAGACACGGAGTTGGCTTTGAAATGGTGGGACCCTCACGCTTCACGGTTTGGTAGAAAGGCTTTCTTTATTTCCACAAGCAAATGTTGTGTCGACTGTAGAAGCTTGTGCAGATCATGTGCCTCTAGGTTACGTAGCCCCTTGTAGAGGACTCTGCCCGGTCCCTGTTGGCAGAGAAAGCTTCCTCATCGCCAAGTGGTCGTCATATGCCGAGACGTGGTGCCCGGAGACAGACTTCGGCGAAGACACCCTTTCACTATTTGCCTGGCCTCACCGTTGCTGTGCTTTGCAGAAGGCGGTGTGATCCGCAATTCCCTTATAGAAGTCTAGAGCGCGGAAAGGGAGCTTTAGCGTACGGTGATTTTTCCAGCCCTACGATTTCATTCCAGAGTCTTGTCAACGGCTTATGGGGTTACTAAGGTTATCGCAACCGCCCGTATCCTTGGAGCTCCCGCCCAGCCCTTACGTACTCCGCTATGTTGATTGTCGTCCCGCTTGGCGCAGAACTGCTGGCAGCTTTTCGTATTAAAGCCCCTCCCCCCCTCGTTTCACAGTTCCTGCGATTCAAACGCGTACGAACGCTGAACGCCGGCGTTCGCTTTCAAACATTGAGTAGAGACAAAGGCTGCTAGCTTTACGTCTGCTCACTTCCAACCAGAGCTCGGTGTTCTGACGCCCCCGCGTGCTCTCGGTGCCTCCTCTCTCTCCATTTCTACCCGTATAGCCTCCGGACATGAGTCGTTGTGCCTGAACAAATTCCACGAGTCTATGGGCGAAGGTCATTGCGCAAACACCGGAACGCTTCAGTAAATATGCGGAACAAGTAATTGTTAAACGCGCTTGACGTGCAAAGTTGGTTAACCACGCAATTCTCAGCAACGAAACGAAAAATAAATACACCTCTGTTTGTGCATGAGGACGAAACTGGGGACCATGGACTGCTTTAGGACGCGGAAGTACACAAACTATTACCAGGTGCGTTTGAATGGATCCAACCGCATCTTTTATTAATTTCAGCTCTAGTATTTGCAACTGCAAGATAATAACTTCCGAAAAGTAACGTTTGCAGCGTATATAGCAAATGTTCAGATCGGAGGGGGGGATCGGTGGCCCAGTGGGCTAAAGCGCACACCCAGCTCGACGCACGTGGGGCGAAAGCTCGCGATGCAGAACCCAGGGATCCTGGGTTCGAGCCCCACCCCTGCCCGTTTCGATCTGGATGAGCATCGTACCGGCGTGCGGTCGTGTATCACTACAGCGTGGTGCACGTTAAAGACCCCAGGCTAGCGGTTGTACTGCACTGGCTAAATTGCTCATCTACAGCGCGTGACTCGTCGCAACTTTAATGGCTGACCAACTACACGCTGTATAAACATCCTCACAACCCAATTATTATTGTTCAGATCTGATGTTTCTGTGCTGCTTTTTGGACTGTTTGTTCCATGCTTCCTACGCCTTCATATTATATTTACAATCGCGTTGTAAGCGCGCAACAATATACACAATTTCGGTTGTGGGTAGGAAAAACTGGGGATTGACGCGTCCAAAAAATAGAACCGACTGGAAGTCGCGTGATAGTCAAAGATATGGCAGATGGTGGCTTGTGGAAATGAAGCGATATATATATATATACACGTACGGTTCCTGATGCATAATTGATTACGATGCCTGAAACGCGTCTAGAGCTAGTGTGATTATCACTTTTTTTTTCTTTATAGATCGGTTTTTGTTCGGCGACGTCACAACTGTGAGTTCTTAATCTTCGCGGCTCTGGCAAAGGCATTGCATCGCAAGTGGTTACGACAGATGTCTGATCTTATAAGCCACCCATTGCAAGAGGCCAATCGGCGAAAACTTTCGCATCTACGCGTTGGGCACGCCAACGTCAGCGAAGCCTGCCTTCGCGCATCTTCTTCGGCGGTATACTCCAACAAACAACCACCTGGATAGCGAAAAGAGGCATCGTTGACAGGCCGCTGCTGCGACGTATTTTGTTGCCGTTTCGAAGACACTTCGATGCATGGGCATGACAAGGCGCAGAAGGTGTCAGTTGGACCTACGTTCCGGGCAGCGTAGCAGCCCCAATGACATTTTCTTGCGTGTGTAACTAAGCGATTGTCCGTTCACGCTGAGTTGGACCTCCCAGGGCCTTCTCTGGCAGTCGCATCCGCAGAAAGGGGAATTTCCATCGACTCGTCTTCGTGCTTCAGTTTGGCGTTGCTGCTGATGCGTAACAGCTGGTAGTAGGAAAGCACGCATTTCAGAAAATACACCTGTAAAAAAAAGGTTTCATGGCATTAAACGGTGAAGTTGCACATAACTCGTTCTCAAGTTTCTCAGGCATATTTTTTTTTCGCATGTCTTATCTCTAAGCTATGATCATCTGTGTGTTTCTTTTTTTTTTATTATTATTTCGCGTCGTGTTTCAGCATATTTAATGTTAACGGAATGCTTTTTTATACATGTATATATGAATTGCGTTTATGAACTCTAGCGAAACACTCAGCGATCCCAAAGCCTCTGCTGAGCCCTTAAGAACCCTCCAACTCTGACGCCCGAAGTTAGAAAAGAATACTAGGTTCCTCAGAATGGATGAGCTGAGAACAAGCGGTGAACTTCGCATAGCGGTGTTTCCTTTCCGCGTGGCGTTCTTAGAATAGCGGCTGTTGTTGCCGTGCGCCCGAACGAACATGCCGCGCAGAAAAAAGTGTGTCCCTTGCTGGCCATATACCTTTCGCTTCATGGAGAGTAGCGCTGAGTTCAAGATGAAAGACGACCTGAGAAAGTCTTGTTGGCTCATAATCACAAGATTACTTGTTAGCGTTATTCGAGCAAATATAGCCGAATCTATTACTCAAAACAGACCTTATTCATTATTAGCGCCATTTCTCGGCCACCACGGGTACTATCAGAGGCTCGGCGCCATCTTTGAGGCTTCTCCACCGTTCCGTCGCCCGCGGTAGTACAGCAGTATACGAACCCCTCTCCCCGCGTAGCGTTCGTGCATTTTTTGTTTTGTTTGTATATCGGTGGTGTTAGCCCATCGAGAATAAGTTACGAATATTAAGCGCCGCAAGTCAGTGGTTTCACTAAGAATTTTTTTTTTTATATATATATATATATATATATAAAAAAAAGAGGTTCATTCCAGCACAGGAGCAGGCCGACTCACGCACTTGTTTTAAAATCGTGCGTTAAATTGCCTGACCATCTGATTATGCCTGTTTGCACAAGGACGATTTGTATGATATATTTAGCAGGAGCGTCAGCCCCTGTGTGACACTTGGTTTTTATTTGGCATTCACGGCTGCGGGTCTAAAGAATAGGAGCCGTTCTCCACCCAGTGCGCCTTGCCCCAGCGTGTGCAGACCCGAATCGCAGGGTTCTACGATGGGGGTGTTGAACGTTTACTCTTGGTTCCCCGTTGTCTTAACATGAGGAATATTGCAAATATGATTTCACACACACACAAAACAAAGAAAAAGAAACCCGGAAATTATATTTATTAATCGCATTTGTATTCAGTTCCTTGGGGAGATCACCCATTTGTAGCTAAAAATATCATTATAAGGAGTGCGTGTGATACAGCACGAATTTACGATAGTAGTATTTTTTTATTGCAGGTAAAAAATTAAAACTATGGTGTAGATATACATAGCATAGTCACACAAGTGTATGCGAGGCACACAAGCGTAAAAGGAAATGGCCGGCGTGTTGCCGCGGCGCAAGTACGCGCAATATAACGTATTAAAAAAAAAAAAAAAACATCACTATACTACGGAAAGTTGAAACATTTTCCTTTTATAATCATAAAGTTGAAACATTTTCCTTTTATAATCATAATAATAACATTAACAAATAAATTCAGTACTTGCTCATATATACTCTTCGGCCCTTTTAGAAAAAATGCGTGAATAAATGTCAGTGACATTTTAATGTGCTCCTCCTCGTAGCACGGTCATATAGCTCAGCGCGCTTATAAGTTTCATGCTTACTCGCAGTGGAATACGACCAATGCTCATTAAAGAGGTTGCTTGCAGTATTGCCTACAAGTGAAAGAGCTCACGCGGCGCGAACCTGATCTGTTGAGAAGCGTGCAAAAGATATACTGTTAAACTCGCCAACAAGTCCAGGTTAGCAGGCAAGAGCCCGCTTTCATGCTCTCGACTACATCTCGAAAATGTTTCACCAAATGTGAGAGTCGCGTGATAATAATGATGCAGCGTAAAGTAAGCCGGCGTTCACCTTTGCTTTTTAACACCCGTTGCCTTTATCATTCATCTGCGAAACCAAGTTGTTACGTGGCCTAGTACTTCTGCAATTTGCATCAGCCTTCAATCGGGTGTAAAAAAAGAACAAAAAACTACTTGATCGAGAAAAAAAAAAAGCGCAAAACAGTGTACTTTAGTGATATTGACTGGGCCTCGCCGTTGCTCTGCGCGAGCGAAGCTACGATGCTAGCCAGCATCAAGCACCCAGAAAATAAAAAAAATAAAAAATAGATGCTCGTTGACGTTACATACAACTATCATGAGCCCTTCATGCCATTGTGGAAAGTGTCATATATTAAGCAAACGTTTAGGAGCCCTGTAAAAGCACACACCGCACCACACTAAGACGCGGGTACTCTTTTTAGGAGCATGAAATGTACATGAAGGCGCTACGGCTATTCAAACGTTGACTATGATACCTTTAACTTGAAAAGAAAAACAATAGAATCCCAATCTTTACATCGTTTTTTTTTTTAAATTTTATTTCTTCGTTGAATATGTAGCGGAAGAGAGCAGTCGTGCGGTCGCTGCACGCCGCTTTCACACGCTGGAAACGACCACAGCGCCTTGCCAGCCGCCTCAAAGATGGCGTCGAAAGGAAGGTTGGCGCCACGTCTGACACATGGCAGGCGAATCTGAATAAGGTCTATTGTTCAGTCGCAATATCATAGCCATGAAGCATTTATAAAGCAGCAAATTATTTACTGGATATAAAATAACTAGCACAACCGAAATTGCCTGTTTGTATTTGAATTACTTGAATACATCAACACATAAGGTACAGTTAATTACGCTTTTAGAAACCGCGAGAACGCATTGCGGTCTTGACGGAGGACATACCTTCGCAATTAAAAACAACTTCGTTTAAAAATATATATATCAAAAAATACATTTAAGAGTAGGAGAGAAAAAAAAAAGAGATTAAAAACCGGGAAATAGAACGAATGATAAACATATATCACGGCTTCTTGCGGCAGTAAACCATCCAGAATGGATATGTATTAGCCGAAGTTTTAAGCAATAAGAGTATTATATTTGTTACTCTGTGCGTATTAAAACATTTTAAAATGAAGCTTCTCTACACATGGACAGTAGTATACACAGTTTATAAATAAGATATTGTCAAATAGTTGAGCGAACGCCCTGTGTCTCAACTAAGCGGATATTCGCCTGTCTTAGGCCGGAGACGTCCAGGTATTGTTAGCGTTGAATAAAATAAATGTAAGAGGAAAAACAACATTCCGACAACTCCTACAGATAGACACCTGCTAGTTCCTGCAGCGATGTCTTTATTCACTCAACTTTATGCTGCGTGTGTTTTGTTTTATACGTGGAAGAATACCGAAGTTTGTCGGCAACACATAAAATAACATGGTGGCAGATGGACGTTAAAGTTACAGCACTTGCAAATGTCATGCACGCTGATTCTGGCACCTGCACTTTCCTACAACTCACCGAGACAAAGAATCCAATCCAGGATCCCATCGCGCTTCCCAGTGCATGAGTGGACTGGAAAAAGGGAATGAGATAGGTGATCATAAAAAAAAAACAAAAAAAAACATTAAAGATTTCTACCACTCAATAATGATCCGCAGTCCTGACAAACATTGTCGCTACACCATTACGACTGCATAAACAGGAAAGCATTACGAAGTATCAATATGGTGGTGATATTCCAAGTCGCACGAATTATGAATACCAAAACATATGAATTCAGAAAGGTGAGATTTTATTTTGTTTCAATGAACCCAGATGCACATATTTAAATACTTCTACCTTAAATAAAAACAAGGAAGAATCGATTTAAAACAAGATCGAAGAAACTGCGTCGACTTTACATAACAAGATAAACAATTTAATCGAACGTTTCGTTTCCCAAGCGGGAAACCACATTCCTGCCTCAAGGTTTCACTGATGATGTTTCCCGCATGGGAAACGTTTGATTAAATTGTTTATCGTGTTATGTAAAGTTGGCGCAGTTTCTTTGATCATCATGATTCCCGGTTTTTAGAATATTTTTGCATTAAAACAAGAGTACAAACAGAACTACAAAAAAGCTGGGAAAACAAAACACGTACCTTCAGAACCTTCAAAAGAAACAGAAATACGCTTTGTAAGCATCCTTATTGCTCAAGATCACAGTAAAATAAAGTGATTCGAAACAAGTTGTTAAAAATGCAGCTATCTCGAAAATATCAATACAATTCTAGAACGAAAACATGCTACATTTATTTGGATTATTTAAAGTTGGAGGTAGCATTCTCTACGTTTTAAATGACGAAACGTTAATCATTAAAGGCGATGCACCCCATCAACTGTCTTATTTCTTATTTCACGTAAATCCTGCGCGTCGTGCATCGTAGAATCGTACCGACGCAAACACAGCAGCCAGGACCTGCATCACGGCGATGACGAAGAGATACAGGATGTTGAAGAGGCACCAAATCATCCACGGGAGAAGCAGCCGGTGCTCGGCCTGCAAAGTGCGGAGAGGCGACATTTCTTTCCGTGGAGCTAAGGCGGTGGCCGAAACGGGTCCCCGACTGGTTCGTTTATTGCGTAAAAAAAAAGTGTTTCTCTGATTTCCTTCGGACAATGTCACAGAAGTGTCACGTTGTCGCCGGTAGCGATCCTGGCGGTGCCACAGCATCGGTAGTGAATGTGGCAGACACCTTACGCTGCAGGTCGCCCTCCGGCTTGACAGTCCACCAAAGTTTCTGCAGCCAGGCGTTGGGACGCCGAGACGGCGGACGACAGCGACACTCGCGTCGGCTTGTACCAACGCTACAAAAACACTCAGTTGGGAAACCCACCTTCGAAACCCGAACTGCTCGCGCCCACCGAGACAAAACTAGATTAAAGCCTTTAAACTCGATATGATAACCTTTAGCGACGAGGCAAAGCATGAAAATTGATTTAGATAGGTATACTGCGAGATGGCGCCACTGGCCCTTGCGCTACTTGACCTTAACCCGTATGTGTAGCCGTGCTGTTTCCGGAGTGGCCGCTGCGGGAGAAATGGCGGCTTTGCGGTCGTCTTTAGTTCAGTTCTCGCATAGGGATCGGAGTCTCTTTTTGAAAGCAGCCTGTATGGCAGTGTCCCAACTGAGTTGTTCTAGTAACGTCGGCTCGTACTTTTTGCTGTGACTTCTAGCACAACCGCCAGGATCGCAACATCCGACAGCATGACATACCGGCTTCTGTGGCGTCAATTGTCCCAGCTTCGAAAGCATTTTTTTTTTTGTGTGGGGGGGGGGGGGGGGGTGTTTATGGGCAGTATAGAACGCTAGACACACCAGTCGAAAATGCGTTCATGGCATTGTAACAAGGGTAAACATAGGTGGTGTTAGCGGCTATTTCAAAGATGCATACAGTATCCAGACTGATAGCCAAGAAACAAGATCCGCTTAAGATTTTGTTCAGTTACGTTTTTTCTAAAGGCTCCAAAGAGTAATATACGAGGTGAGGTCATAAAAAAAAAAAAAAAAAAAAAAAAAAAAACATGTTTGGCACGTCTTGCAAGGTACAAATTCCAAACGTATATGCCGTAAATCGGTCACGCGAACTTCGTTTTACAAAAACTTTATACCTGTTCACCCCTTAATTCGACCCTTAAGAATATAGTTAAAAATCTTGACGCGAAACGACGTTCCCATGCCTAATTCTGTGCTTGTACCTCTAAAATGTGTTTTTGTGCCAGGGGTGCCAAATACACTGGCTTTTACTGCCGCACACCTTGCATGTAAATGGAGCTTAAAGCCACAGTCACGCTCCTCGTATATTATACGTGGGGTGAACCTGGTCATTTACAGGACTTTGCATATGTCTACATTCTCGACAGACTCCCCTTGTAGCCGAATTATCTCGCATCACTTGTGCGACAGCCTCTAGGTGCCCTGCTAGAACCGCTTTTTTAGGAGTACACCCCCCCCCCCCCTCCCCCCACGGCTGAACAGCTGCTGTCAGCTTAAATAGTGATCTCGAAATGGCGTCCTCCCAGGAGCTTTTTCATTGCATACAACGGGTGATAACCACTGACTGCCTGGCCTTAGCACGTGCCGAAAAGACGGCCTGAACCTGATCAGACGCTGGTCAATCCCTGTCACACGTGAGTGCACACGACGCAGTGATTGACCGGCGGCTGATCGGGTTCGGCGGCGTCTTTGCGACACGTCGTATGACCAGTCAAACGTTTGGTCGCGTATGGTACAACCTGACTGGGCTCCCAGCGATTATACCATGTTGCGTGGCATGAAAAAAAAACAAAAAAACGCGAGGACGTTCATTGGTGGTCGCTAATAAGCTGGAAGCTGTCCAGGCGTGGGAGTGAGGCATCCCCAAAAAGTGGTTCTAGCAGGCAGGAGAAGCTGCCACACAAGTGATGCATGGGCGTCCGGCTACAGGTGGTGACTGTAAAAATGGTGGACATAAGTGCAAACCTCTAAGTGACCGGTACTGCAGCAACAGAAATAAAAGAAGAAATGTAAATCATGATGGAACTTCCCTCGTACAAAGGACATGGTGTTTACTGCAGACATGATGACAAACTTGTCTGCGGACCCGTCTCGTGCCAGTTGGAAGCCTGTTTGCTTCATAAGTGCTTAGAACATGTTTGCAGGCCGTACGACCAACAGGAGAGGACCGTCATACTGCCGCCCTCTGATGAGCCATGCACGCCTCACGAAGTGTCGGCAAACTCTCTTTTGTGTGACGTATTAGCGGTCTGACGGAGTGTTTAAGTATGGTGCCTGGGTCGCGTCTCCGACTGGTGTGTTTAGCGTCCTATCCCGCCCATCCACCAAAAGTAGTCCCGAAGTGGCAACAAATGACGTCACAGAAGCCGGAGTATCATGCTGTTGCCTGTCGCGATCCTGGCGGTTGGCCGTGGAAATGCTGGCGAAAAGCACGAGCGAACAGGAGTGTCGCTGTGGTCATGGCGTCCCAGGCGTCCCAACTTCCAGCTGTTGAAGCTTTCGTGGGCTGCCACATTGGAGAGCGACCTGCAGCAGAACAGGCGTCTGCCACATACAACACAACTGTTGGGACGCCGCCAGGATCGCGACCGGCGACAGCATGACACTTCTATGACGTCATCAGACGGAAATCGAGGGACCACTTTTTTTGGCCGCGGTAAACACACCAGTCGGAGACTCGTTGCAGGCACCATGGTTTAAGAAAGGTTTTTCCTGGAATACTGATAGTGATAGGACAACGTTTTGCTGTGACAACGTTCCCTGCCCCCCCAAAAAAAAGCCAAAAAAAAAAAAAAGCGATGCTTCTTAGCCGGACATTAGCTACCAAATTAGGAAGATTTGTTTCTTCGTTTGTACGTTTGAAAGTTGAGTGTACGTGATATGCATATTAAGTGTGGAATACAAAGAATCTCGACGCCTAAAAGTGTTTTCACCCGTTTTGCTGAAAGATCTTAACGTTTCCCGTGAGTTTTCTTTTTTTTTTTTTTAAGTAGCTCGGCGTGCGATTGTGACTTTATCCGCAGAACGGCAGAAATCGCAGAGGCGAGGGCAATAATCGCTACATATGATTCAGGAGACTTGACCCAAGTTCGCCTGGCTCAAAGGCCGGGGCACGGCCATGGCCGGGGGAACTTTTGAACCTACAACTTGGGTGGCAACTCTAGACGATCTAAGTTAGGCATTTGCACTTCAGTAGACGTGACATTAGATGAAAGAGAATGTTCGCGCGAATGTATAGGGTGCCAGTGAGAAATCCGAACCTGGCTTTTCGCACCGCAAAAATAAAACTAAACGTCACGGAGAACTCAAACTCAGTCATAACGTAACCCCAAGCCGTTTGAGCAAGATGCCAATGTTACAGCACCAACCGTTATCTTATTCAATAGTCATAAGGAATTTTTTGAAGTTTTCAAAGAGAAAATGGGGCCCACTTTTTTGCCAGTTTTCGGTTTGTGGCGCCGTAGAGCTCCATGTATCTGAGAGCTCCGTCGGCTGCCATTTTTCTATTGAAATTTTCAGAAAATCATTTATAACTTTTGAATAAGATAGCGGTTGGTGCTGAAACTTTGCCATCTCGCTCCAACGGTTGGGGCTACACGTTCAGTCGGAGTTTGAGCTCTCCGAGATAATACTTAAAAAACAAGCGAGCTGGTGATGATTCATGGTAATAAAACCCGAGACCCAGGAACAAAGAAGGGGACATTTAGTTTATTGTTGCGGTGCAAAAAGCCGGGTTCAGGTTTCTCACAAAAACCCAGAATTTATGCGAAGGAAATCCTCAAATTGAGAGCAAATGAAATAATGCATATGAGACATATCTTACCACTCAATATAGATGACGGGTTCCAAAGTTAATAAAGAACACGCGGCAGCTAGGCAATTGCAACATGTTCACTGTAAAGTGTAGGCTGTTTACACTTGGGAACATGCAGGTGATCTCACCTTTATCACTCCCACGATTAGAACGACCGAAAATAAAATCTCGATGCAACTCTCGACGATTATTGCAACCGCCACGTAATGAGGATCTGTAAGTAGAGTAAAAATATATTTAGGATGACTTAGACAGTCTTTGTTGAATATGCAATGATACTAATAAATCAGAGATACCATCAAACTATAATTTATCGTTTTCCAAGTGTCCAAGTTCGTGTGAAATCGCAATGCATTTGGAGCACCGATCACCATGATCATCCCTCCATCAGTTGAAACCTATAATTGGCGACTGGTCTTGTGCTCCAGTGGTCATGAACTCTCAGACCTCAAAAAGAGTTCACTCTTTTTGCCACTCAAACAGCATGCTCATTAAATAATGATACCAATTGCTCCTGCTTATTTCCTAAAGCAATTGAAGCAGGATGGAGAATAAAAATCAATTTAATTTAAATCGTGATTTATATTGTGGATTATATATGTAGAGCTTTCCCGCAAAAATAATCCCGAAATATTTTATGTACCGTTTGTCTATCATTCGAAACTGTGAATTAATTTAAAATGACGCCCATTTCATCGTTCGGAAAGATCACAGCAGGCGTAGGGGAAGAGGAGTTTTGATTGCGATAAAAAAAAGGAAAAAAAGCGTTTTCGCGTTGAAAACTCTGATATCATTTCAACGTTTGAAGGCGTGCTGTCCAGAATAAAAACTCGTACCGTTCCTGTTATAATGATTGCTTGTTACAAGCCTCCCGCGCTCTCAGATGTGTCCCCTTTTTCACGAATGTATAGAACTACTTGTTAGAGCTTACCCCAATGGTATGTTTGTGTTGGCTGGAAACTTTAATTTTCGAGACATTGTTTAGCCGACTTTCCTCTCTTCGATGCCGTTCGAGAGTTGTTTCGCTCATTCTAAACAAAGCCGACATTTTGTAGATGTAACGCGTGCGTTCTTACTTTGTCGAACGATTAGTCGCCCAACTCGCGGCTCTTCTGTTTTGGACCTGTTTTTTACGTCAAACCCTGGGCGCGTAGTGGGTGTCCATTTATGAAATCATTGAGTGATCATGTTTTTCTAAATGTTGAAATGGCTATATCTACGCCGAAGTGAATTCCTCTGATTAAAACCATATTGAATTATTCAAAAGCAAAAGTTGATTAAATCTGCATGCATTTAACATCATTTTTGGGTCGGTACTTAGCCGACTTCTGTTGTTGATCGGTTAACAAAAATTAAGAGTAACTTAAATATAAATTGCATGACCTAGCTGATTTATACATTCCCAAAATAAGCATTTTCTCGCGCATTGAAAACCTGGGCTTTTGGCATGGTTAAAGAGGCTAAATAATGATAAAAAAACAGCGCCTTTACAGGACTGCCAAGATTTTTCACTCTGCAGATGCATAAGAGAGATACAACGAATGTGAGAAAACGTCTAAACTTGAAATAGAGAACGCAAAAAAAAAGAATCGTATAGTGAGGATTTTAGCAAGCAAACAATTATGAGAACCAACCCCGAAAGGCTCTGGACTGCTGTTAACCCAAAACAAGATAAAGAATCTTTCCTTCTCACTGATGCGTCGGGAAATAAAATGAGAACTGCTGTGCTGAGGCATGTGAAGATTTCGGTCGGTACTTCAATAACGTGTTTTCAGAGGACCTGTTTCCTCTTCCAGACTTTGATCTAAACCAGGGGTGGTCAGGCTCACCCGGCCTAAGAGCCGCAACCAAAACCACAAAACTTCCAAGAGCCGCGGGAGGAGGAGGGGGGGGGGGGGAGAGGCAAACTTTTGTCCAGAGCAATAAACGAAATTCGAACTACTTTCAAATTTCAATACATCCGAATCAAAAGCAGTCCAAGTGTACGTAAGGTAGCAGTAGCACAAGACTACCAAACCGCAACCTGTCTTTCACTTTCAATTTAAAACGCGTTCCATTTCTCTTTCTGGGGAAGTGCTCGTGTGATCAGGAGGGAGGCGGAGAAGTGTGTGTGTGTGTGGGGGGGGGGGGGGGGGGGGGGGGAGGGGGGAGGGGGGGGGGGGCGGAGAGAGCCGCGAGCCGCACTTTAACACCCAAAGAGCCGCAGCTTGGCCATCCCTCATCTAGACCTTATTTTTGACAAAGAAATGGCCCCATGGCCCCATTAACCATCAAGGCATTTGGAATCATGAAACTCATTGGCGACCTACCCTCAAACTGGGCACCAGGCCCTATCAAAATAACATCGAAGCCTCTCAAATTTTGTAAAAATCAGTGTTCATCTCTTCTTTCCTTGATTTTCCAACAATCGCTTGACTCCAGTGGAATACCCGACAACTGGAAGCATGCTCAAGTAATTTCAATTTATAAAAGTGGTCCGAAGAATGAATATTTTAACCATAGACCAAGATCTTTGACAAGTGTACCCAGTTAACTCATGGAACATATGGTTTTTTCACACATAATGAAGCACTCATGCATGCGCAACAACTTCGTAAATCGGCACGGTTTCCGAAGGTCCTATTCTTGCGAATCGTAGCCTTTTGAGTTTACTAATGACATACACGAAAATCTGCAATCCCGCCCCACACAATCTTCACAGATTTCCAGAAAGCATTCGACAAAGTGCCTCATCACCATCCCACGTTAAAGATCCGTTCATTGAAAATAGACTATTTTTTTTGTAATGGAGTGGATTTCAACTTTTATTTTAACCATACACATAGCGTTCATTATATCAATAAAAAGATTCACCGCAACAAAATGTCAGATCTGGTGCGCCTCAGGGAACCGTGCTCGGTTCGTTGTTATTCATTATATTGTCACGAATGACGATTGATGAGGCGACGAAACTGAAGCAAACTAAGCGTTTAATGGGGTGAACTTGTGCCCAAAAACATAATAGGAAAAGGCTAGCGTTGCAGGCGTCGATGGTGGCGAAACAGCAGTATCGAACGCTGGGGCGAAAACTGACTGCGGCTCGCCACGCGGAGTCCCTTATACATAGATGCGTTGGCTTCAGGAACAATCGGCGTAGAAGGTTCGGTAACTAGAACATTCGGACCTCGAACAAGCAGCAGAGTTCTCGAATTTACCAGAACATTCAACTGAAAGAATAAATAAAGACGCGTAACTCCCGGGCATCGAACCTTGGGACCTTGCACGAACGTCAAACGCGGTAACCACTTGGCCACGCACGCGCTCGCTCGCCGTCGCGCGTGGCAATATATGCGAATGACTTGCCAACTTGGATTCGGTCCACCATTAGATTATTTGCCCACGACTGCGTGATCCATCGGAAAATATAAAAGCTGGATGGCTGTGCGCTTTTGTGGAACGACCTCACATGTCTCGAAACATGGGGTAAAGAATGGCAGGTGAAAATTAATGCTTACAAAATAAAATTTCTCAACTTTAATACCAAACGTACATCAACACAGTTTAACAACACCTTTTAAAAACGCCTAATGAAGGTGTTCCTCGTATAAATTACATTATTGCGAAGGCAAACAAAACCCTCAGTTTCCCGAGGCAACACCTCTGCTACCTTGCAACATCGGACACAAAACAGATCGTATATTCATATTTCCTTCGACCGAAAGCTTGAATACGCATCTGTCATCTGAAATCCCCATCAGTCATATCTAATCGATAAGCTAGAAGGCATACAAAACCGAGCTGCCTGCTCCATAGATTGAAACTATATACTCGCGCAAGCATTACAGCATTAAAACAACAACTTAAGCTTCCACTTCTTGCAGACCGTGGGACGATGTCAAGATTGATTGCCGTGCATAAGTTGTACTGTGGATCGCCATCCAAAAACGATAAGTATTGCAAAGCCGCCAGCCACATCTCGTCACGCACAGACAACACACGAACACTTCACATCACCGTTCGTAGTTTCAACTGTCTATTACCGACCGCAGTTCACTACCTGATCACATCGTAACAATAGAAGAGCACAGCACGCTCCGTGCCGCACTTGCCGCATTCACAGCACGCAATCTAACTTAAACATTGTTTCATTTGTTTTCTTTGTGAGTCTTGATATATATAGATATATTTGCCCCCCCCCCCCCCCCCATTACGTAAAGTTCCCTGAGGGCGATATAAGGGTACAATATATGAAATAAAATGAAATTTGATAATTTATACGTACATTTGATTTGATTTTAAATAATAATTTTAAAAAATCCCCAAGCACGAAAGGTATATATAAGGCTACCGCTGAATTTGATAAAAAAAGAAGTACTCGTCTAAGCAAATCGGAGCGTTGAGCTTGATTTCTACCATTCACTTTGTTGGTCAGTTATATATATATATATATATATATATATATATATATATATATATATATATATATATATAATTCGTGACAATATATATTGTCACGAATGACGAAGTGACGAAACAAAAAATAACTGAGGAAACCGCAACGTTTAGTGGGGCGAACCTGTGCCCTTAACAAACAGGAAAAAGAAGATAACAACAGAGTGTCACGGGCGTCGAGTTCGCCGTAACAGCAGGATCGAACGTTGGAGCGAAACTGATTCCGGCTTGCCAGGCGGAGCACCTTTTATAGCCGCGTGGGTTTCTGGACCATTTGGCCTAGAACGTTAGGCGCGTACGACATTCGTAAGTCGAGCAGACAAGAGAGCTCTCGAATGTGCGAGAACACCAAGTAGAAAGAATAAATAAAAGAACATTCCGCACGCTGGAATATGACCCAGAACCTCCGCACGACAGCCAAACACGGTAACCATTAGGCCACGTACGCGCTCACTCAGCGACGCCCGTGGCAATATATGTATATATAAACGTCACGTTCTATCTTAACAAGATCAGAACGTAAAAAAACACGAAAACTGGAAAAGTAATGTCCTATTGTAATCAAATCAAAACTCCAATAAAAAATCAAATAAAGATTTTTTGCTGCTGTTCTTGTATGGTGGTAATCCTAGGAATAAAAAAGTTGTTAATTAAACTGTACTTTACATTTACAGTATTTTTTTCAGCAATAATGCTTTGAACATGGCAGATTCATCAATCAATTTGCAACGTTGAAAAAACATCTAGTCGTAGAGAATCATTTCTAGCTTACAGTGATGTATA